CCAGCACGGTCATGACACTCCTGTTTCCAACTCTGACGGTTCCCACTGTTCACAGACAAGCACCTCATCTCCTTACTGTGGCTTATGAAGAAGCTTTTTGCTCCCCACTAGCCATGCTCCAGAGACCTCAGTCTTCCGACTGTTTCCTAAAAGTGCCAAGGGTGCCTCCGCGTCTTGGGCACTTCTCCTTCTACGTGGTAGACTCTGCCGTCCCACCCACTCCCTCCAGGGCTGGCTTCTCTTCATTCTAGCCACAGTGTGGCTAGAGTAGGACACAGAAAAAAGTTCATGATGCAGCAAGTCTAAGAAACAAGTTTTGAAAAATAGATCACAATCAAGTTGACTGATGAGGAGCAAAGAAAAAAAATAGAAACAAAACTAACTTCGGGGTTAGCAGCCAGCCATGTTCCCTTGCTTTTTAACTTCCTGTCTCTCCCATGGGCTCTTATATCCCACAAGGGGAGTGGTTATGTCTGTTTTGTCCACAAGACACAGCCAGGACCCCCTGCCAGCCCATAATAGAAGATCAATAAAATTTTAAGTTGCTAAATGAACAGCTATCACTTATTGGGTCTTTAATATGTTCCAGGAAATCTGCTAAGTGTGTGTCTCAGCATGTTACAGCATCAAAATTTTAGCCACAGTCATATATGCAAAATATCTGTCATTGTTTTTCTTACTGAACTTACCTTCAAGCCTCCTCTCTGCTGTGACTGCCAGATGACATCAGGGCTCCAAATACTCTCTTGGGCTCTAAACTTCCTTGGCTTTAACAAGAAGACATTAACTCATGCCCACCTGTTAGGGCTGTGTATTCACCAAGCAGCAGATCCCAAAATTCAAGGCAACAGTCCAGCTCTCTGCCCCTTAATGCTGATCAGAAGTAGAAAAATTCTGGAGTTTTCATTCGGTCAATTTAGACAGAGGGAGAGCTAACACTCGGGACCCCTGACTTCTGGGCTGGCACCATTCTTTGTACCAACATACATCCAGAAACATCATTTAGAAACCACAACACTTTCTAGCTTTAACCAAGGAAGTAACAATGTCTGGATTAATTAAATCATCCTGTGCCCCAGATGTGCACTTTTTTGCCTAATCAGAAAAGTACTTACAGGATGACCTGGCCCTCCTAAGGGACACTAGGCCTGGAAAATTGACAGGGCTTGACCTGGTTGTTTTCATAGTCAACGACTTAGGAATGTGCTGGAATTGTGACTAGTTATTTTGCACTTGGCAAGCAGGGCAACATTTAGCCATAGTTTCCAGAATGGTTGGGAGGGAGGAGGAAAAGAAGAAAGGGGAGGGAGAAGTGTGTGAGAGAGAGAGAGAGAGAGACAAGCCAAGCTCTGTGACTGCTGAGAAGCCGTGGGCCTGGGGGCCCCCGAAAGTGCTACTGTGCCCTGCTGTGTAGTAAATTATATCTTTCACTTATATTAACAGAAGTTGTACCCTCCCCCTGTGTCTGGGGGTGTCCTTCCTTCCAGTATGTTCTAGCACATGACCACTCTGCAGTTTCCATCCACATCAAATAGTCAAGGTAAAATTGTGGATGTAGCTGTATCTGTGAAAGTAAAATGTAAAAGCTGATAGGACCCCCCCAAAAAAACACTTTAAGTCTCGAGAGAGGTGATTGTCATCTGAGTCACACAGCATGTAGTTGCAACTTCTGCTTCTTAATCTCTTCCTCATTGTTCTTGTTCTGTAAATGACTAGAAGAGACCAGAAAAGCAGACCTCCTCCCCTCAGTCACTGACCCTTGTTATAGACTAAGTGCCTCCCTCTCTATCCAGTAACCAGCTCTCACCAGATGGTGCAAAAGACCCTGAGACAGTGACATCTACTGTGTGGAATGTTAAATAGACCTTTCCCGAAAAGAACACCGCCTCGACTGGCCAGATTACGGTAACTCTGTGCCAGACTAATCAGCTAATCAGATTACCCTAACGTGCCAGCCTGTGTGCAAAATGCTAAAACTGTCAAGCTCTCCAAACCTTATGTGGATAAACGACCCCCAAAACTTCTCCACTTCAGAGCAATGGCTTCCATTCTTTGGAATCTGTGTCCCAGAGTGGCCATCCTTCAGCTTAGTGTTCAACAAAGTCTATACTTCACTTACTGAATCTCGTTATTTAACGTTGATTGTTTGTGTGTGTGTATACACAGGTGAGATGGTGTATGAAGATCAGTATGGAAATTTCTCAAAGAACTAAAGTAGACCTACGTACCACTTGACCCCACAATCCCACTACTGGATATCTCCCCACAGGAAGAGAGATCATATCAAAGGACACCTACACGCATGTGTTTATTGCTGCACAGACCACAATTGCAGAGATCTGGGATCAACCTACGCACCCACCAATGAAAGAGTGGATAAAAATGTGGTGTATTGGCTTGGCGCCTGCAGCTCAGTGGTTAGGGTGCCAGCCACATACACCAGGGCTGACAGGTTCAAACTCAGCCTGGGGCCGCCCGAACAACAATGATAACTATAATAAATAAATAAATATATATTTACTTTATATATATAGCCGGGAATTGTGGTGGGCACCTGTAGTCCCAGCTACTTGGGAAGCTAATCACTTGTGCCCAAGAGTTTGAGGTTGCTGGAGGTGTGACTCCATGGCAGTCTACTGAGGGCAACATAGCATGACTCTGTCTCAAAAAAAAAAAAAAAAGTGGTGTATTTACACCAGGGAGTACTGCTCAGCCCTAAGAATGAAATTATGTCTTTTGCAGCAACTTAGATGGAACTAGAGGCCACTATCCTAAATAAAGCAACTCAGAAACAGAAAAATAAATGCCACATGTTCTCACGTATAAGTAGGAGCTGAACTCTGGCTACACAAGGACACAGAGAGTAGACGTACAATGGACACTGGAGACTCAAAGGGGGGTGGGGGGGCAGGGTGAGGTATGAAAAAGTACCTATGGGGTACAACATACACTATTCAGGTGGTAGGTACAAAGCCGCACTTCACCACTATACAATATATACATGTAACAGAGTCAACTTGTACCCCCAAATCCATTAAAATAAAAATGTAGAAAAGGGAGACAGTTTTAGCCAACGGGATAGGCAATCCTAGGACGCTTACCTTTCACAGTCATCAGCCACTATCTCACCCCTCCCCACAAGTTCCGCATAATATTATAACCTCCCAAGCCCTTACCATTCTCCAAGCAAAGTCTGTACCTGTTTTTTGTGTTTTTTTGAGACAGAGTCTTACCATGTTACCCAGACTGGAGTGTGGAGTTCACTGCAACCTCAATCTCCTATACTCAAGCAATCCTCCTGCCTCAGCTGGGACGACAGGCATGTGCCATCACACCCAGCTAATTTTATAGAGTTAGGGTCTTGCGGTGCTGCCCAGGCAGGTCTTGAATTCCTGCACTCAAGAGATCCTCCTGCCTCTGCCTCCCAAAGTGCTGAGATTACAGGTGCACAGGGCTGCCTGTATCCTTCCCCTTCTATCCTCCTGCTAAAATTCTGTTTCTTTAAGACTTAGCTCAAATACCACCCCACTCATAATTCCTCTGGGTCCCCTGACCTCTTCCTTTAAACCTTCTCTGGTATTTCCTGGCTTTCATTTTGCGTTTGCATCACACAACCCCCACCCCTCTCCCTCCCTCCAGGGACTTCAGCTCCATTCAGTGCCTCCCCACGGGCCTGGGAGGTGGCACTGCCCTGTCCAAACCCCCTCACTCTGGGGAGAGTATGTTGCTGAAGATCTTTCACCTTGACAGGGCGTAACTGCACTGCCTGCAGTGTGAGAATGATGATCATCAGGACGTGATACACAGCTTTTCTCCATGTTTTCACTGAACACTAAAGTTTTGATTCCTGTGTGTTGGCTGTCCGTCTCCTCTTGTCATCATGTAAACTCCTGGAAGGCAGAGACTTTTGTCTATTGAGTTCCCATTGAACCCTCAGCCACTGAGGTGTAGTGCCCGGTTCAGATTAGGCCGTCCATCGGTTGTGGTTGAATTCATTAATTAATTTGTCTCAGGCAAAAGGAAGAAGAGAGATCTTACAATCAAATCCTCTTAAATCCGCATAGAGTGCGGCAGGATATAAGGGAGAAAGGAGAAATAAAAACTACTCCAGAGTGTCCCAGCAATTGTCTAGGATTCTCCAAATCCATCAACAAAAACTAGGGACCCTGGGGACAAGTATGCCACCACCAAGTGTGTGTCCATCTGCAGAGCCACATACCTAGCCCTGAGCACACGCACATACGCACATCTTAAAATGCACACCCACTTTTTCCAAGTCTCCTTTTCATGAAATTGCCCTGGACATGTGTCCCCTGCTCCCAAAATTTACATGTGGGGGTGCTAAAAAACTGTATACACTTTTTAAGCCATCTTGTTGGAAGTAAAATTGATCATTCCCAAAAAGTGTACGAAGTGCAGGTCAACAAGGTGTGCACAGCTGGGCTAGGTGCATGTCTTACCAGTCATGGTGCCTCCAATTCAACGCTGAGAAGTAAGGCACAGGTAACATCTCTTAACATGTGGGCTCTTTCCTTTGGCCCCCTACATATTCCAGTCCTAACCCCTAGTTCCTCCAAATGTGACTATATTTAGAGAGAGTATCTAAAGAGGTAATTAAGATAAAATGAGGACTATGGGGAGGGCCCTACTCCAATACTCATGTTCTTCTAAGCACAGGATACTGGGACACAGGCTCACACAGAGGGGAGACCCAGGGAGAAGACGGCCACTCACAAGTCAAGTAAACACACCTCAGAGGAAGCCAACATGTTGATCTCAGAATTTCAGCCACCAGAATTATGAGAAAATAAATCTCTATCTGGATAGTTTAAACTATCCAGTCTGTGGGACTCAGTGACAGCCCTAGACAAGTAAGGCCATGCATAAAACCCCAAAGGGAAAAATGTTTTTGTTAAGGACGCCCCTGCTGAAGGCGGGCTGGTGAACTGCTCAGTAACTGGGTGCTAAGATGGGGGGGAAAGAAAGAAACGAAGGCATAATGCATTGACATTTTTTATATTTGGTATTGGTAAGACTTTAAAAAAAATTTTTTTCAGGCCATTTTTTCCTTAAAAAAAAAAAAAAACCAACCAACAGCAATGCTCTGTACAAGTATAACAAACATTAGAAATATGCATCATTCCAAAATAGTTACAAGAAAATTACAGTTTAGAGTCCACATCAACAAGTCCTATTCATATGTGCCCCCTGGGGAGAAAAAGCTACAGTAGGTCAAACACACAACCCTACACAGTAGTCTGAAAACCCAGCACTTGGACTTTGGAGGCAAATTAACATCAGTCACTAAGACTTTTGCTCAATAAATGCAATCAAGCACTTTAAAAGAAAACCAGGCTTTTGCATCCCAGATGAAAAACAAACAAGATCAGCTGCATAGGTGACCTCCACAGCCACTCCCCGGAGCCTCCAACTCGACGAAGCGCAAATCCAGTGATGTCGATTGGGCCAAGGTTGGCTGGAGGTCACGGTATGGCCAACACCAAATGCCATTTCCATTTCCTGCTGGTGCCCATCATCATTTGATTCAACATTGGAGGCAGAGAGTCCTTGTTCTTGGGAGAAGATATTGATGGCCCACCAAATCCCCCGAACCAATAGGCCACTATTCTTAGGTCCTTCCATTGACAGCCAGTGTCCCCTTGTCAGAGACTGAGCAGAGGCTCACCTCATTCCCACGATCCCACCGGACTCCTCAAATCTTAGTTCACTGCTGCTGGGAGGGGCTGAAGGAGCTCAGAAGCACCTTCCTCTTATCTCTGAACAACCCGCAGCCTGTGTGTCCTTTATATTTACACACTAATCTTCCCTTTTCAAGCACTGTGCTATACATACCCTCACCACCCCCACCAGCCCCAGCCCGGCCCACTTCAGGACTCAGGGAAGCATCGTGACCTTCATGTGACCTGCCCATTTGGAAGCCCAGACCTCTCCGCCACAAGACTTCCTCCTCCCAGGATAGCTGAGGCTGCTGCCCACTTCCCAAGCCCGTACCAGCTGGAAGGAAGGAGGGCTGCTAGGCTTTGCACTTTTATACAATATGTTTACAATCATGTTGCTTTAATCTTTTCAAGGATTCTAATCCCTTAAAGGATTTTTTAGGGACAAGTCCCTTCCTCTGACTCCTTTATGGTAGCAAAGTGGGCAGGGCAGGCCAGGGCAGGGCTTAGGATCCATATGAGAGTTGACATCTAGACACTCATGATGGTTTCAGACAAATTAAAGAAGAAAGGGGCAAGGCCCACAGAACTGCCTGAACGAGGATCTCTAAATGAATAAAGTTACGGGGCTCTCCAAGATCTGCATGAGCTGGGGGCTGAGCTGTGTGACAGGAGGGTCAGGAAGGAAACCGTCTGCCCAGACCAGCTTCACTCAACTCCCCAGAGACAGCGCGGCTTCCTGCAGTCACACCTACAGAGCCAAGACCGCTCTGAAGTTAGGTCAAGGGGACCTGAGCTGAGCTGGCCTGGCCAACCCATTCCTTTAAGGACCTGACACTAAGCGAACTGTGTGCTACCAAAAATTGCAAAAGATTCAGCAAAAAAGTGCAATTTCCACTGGAGAAGATTCTTCCCAAAACATGACACCACCATGACCCCTCCTCTTAATCCTTTCAGTACCTCAAAGGGAAGGGGGGACAAAAGACATACAGTACTACACCTCAGAACCACAGCAGGCCTTGAAGTGCATTGCGGTTCACCTTTCATAACCTTTATAAAATACCCACTAATGTGTCCAGTCAGTTATCAAAGTGCCGGTGAGGTGAGGATCATGGCAGCAGAGGGAGACAGGCTCCCAGGCAGAGGTCACCAGCAACCAGGGCACACGGAGAAGACTTCCTTCCCATTCTAAGAGAACACACATGTCCTGTTTGTGTACAGCAGGCTGCGGTACTGTGGAATACGGCCACAGGACTCCAGGACTTGGTTATTCCTTCATAACACCTTGTATACTTCATTGTCTATTGGAGGATAAAGTCAAGACTTCTTCAAAATATAACCTGAGCCACAATATAAAACAAAAAGAAACACATCCTTTCATGTTAATGCCTTGAGAAGTTTACAGATCATGTACCAATAAAATAAACCCACATAAATTCTAAAATTCTTGGTGGATACACACCTGAAGCAAAATAACAAAAAAAAAAAAAATTAATCTATAGGTTTTTTAAAAAAAATCAAAGTAATTACAGCAGCAGTATAGTGAAAAGAGATTTTAAAAATAATAATTACATCTTTGATACAAATTCAAACTTTGTACACCTCAATTCCTAGGAATGACTGTGTTGGAGAGTTTAGTATATATATATATATATACTGTGTATATATATACACACAGTAGATTCCGATATGTGTCAACTGCAGATAAGAGACTAAAGCCAGTGGACTTTGGGGGAGGAGGGATTCATCTGACACTGAATTCACACTGAAGTGTTCACAGATCGCCACACTGTTCAACTTACACACACACACACACACATGCACACACACGGACATACACACACACATAAAATGCCAACCTGAGTAAAACATTACTAAAAACCTAGAGCATCATGAATCACTAAGTCACATATTGCACCTTTAAATAATCCTTCTTACCAAATACAGAAATGAGAGAAAAGAATATCACAAGGAAAAGAAAAGGATTTGTGTTGCCAGAGGGTTCCTCTGCTTCTCCCACTCCCACCCACCGGTGTCTAGTCTCTGTTCTCACCCAACCGATGGGCTGAAACCGTTGCCAACAGAAGCGTCTTTGGAGAAAACTGGGAGGGCACAAGGGAGAGAAAGTGAAGCACAAGTGTACGGGGGTGGGGAGTGGATTCGGGAGCAAAGAGGCCTCCTCCAATCACATGAGAACAGGAATGTTACTGAGAAGGCAAACCTCTGATGCTAAACTACTGTTTACATATTCCACGTATTCCAATTATGAGATTCAATACAAAAATAGAGACATCTACTGAGTTTTGCCTGTGGAAGCATAATTCAGAAAAGGCACATGTTCATATAGAAAACCCACTCGGAAGAGGCGCCACATGCCCCTCCCTACACAAGAATCATCCACAATTAGGTATTTTTCATCAGCTAGATCCCAAGATACAGTAGGTAAAAATAGACTTCTGATACTTAAAATATATTTAACCCAACACAATCCTGGCTTTAGCATGTGAATCATATAAAATAGTCTCTTAAAAGAAAAAAAAAAAAACCTGTTTTGAGAAAGAAAAAGAAAATCATAGCTCATTTTTCCTGGTTTTCCACAATTCTCAAGAAAAAAGAAATAAAAGCAAACTCATCCCATTGGTAATCGGGAATGCGGGTGGTTTGCTCACCACCCGTCCACAGCCCCTGACGGCCCCAATTTCTCATCGCCAGGTTCTACATGTGCAGCTTCACGCCCTCAAAATTAGTTCTAACAGAACAGAACAAAGAATTAAGATACTAGACATATAAAAACATGTCAAATCGGGGCATGCTCCTTTGCTGTGGGTACGATGGGCTGGTTAACTCCAGGAAGGTTTTCCTTTGGAATTAGGCGATGTAACCATTTGTCTTTCCAAACGTGGTCACAGGTGCAAGATTTTCATAGATTGTCATTGCGGTTGTGTTCTGATAGATGAGATCTACTTTTGAGTCTTTCTGGGATCTGATAATATCCAAAACACACTGGTTGAGGAAAACATACTGGTCCTGATTGAAAAAAAGAAAGAGAAAGCAAATGAGTGCAGGTCTCAAGAGACAAGCACCCAGAATTATTTTCACAGATCATCCCCTACCCTGCTTCCAAGCCCCATCCACCCAACAGCTCACAGGGCAAATTAACATGTTTCAAAAGGGCACAATATTCTGGTGAAATCTGAAACCATAGAGAGCAAGATTTGCCTCATCAATGATTCCCAAACAGAAGGACACACTCCCTACCCCAACCCCAAGGACAAGCACCAGAATTCAGTGGCAGGGCAAAGGAAGAAGGTGGAAGAAAGAATGCACACACGTATCCAAATGATAAAAAGCTCCAACAAGATGTGTTCGCTAGTGAGGCTGTGCAGAGGGAGAGGACACGGCAATTCTCAACCGAGGGCGTGAGTTAAAGGGGGATGATGAGATGGATTTGGATGGGGACCACGGTGTAGGCAGAAGTATTAGAATCTGGCAGGTAGTATCACAAGAATGGAAAAGCAAGTGTCCAGTGTGCTCAATATTAATATGAAGGCAGAAGACGAACATTAAAACACACGCCCACACAGGAGAAAACTTCAAGTTAGGAGGAGAGGAGGGAGGGGGATCGGTGTACTCCTGCTAAATGGGCACAGTTTAAGGGTATATGGCACAACACGATGTGCAGGACACAACCAAAACAGGGACTTTGCCCAGAAATCCAAACATTGTAACCTAATTCTTTGTGCCCTCATATGAGCATGAAATTTAAAAAACAAATCATCTCTTTTTTTTTCCATTATTTGCTGACACATTGATATTTGCTGACACAGAAAGATGTCCATCATACTGCAAGAAAAGAAAATCACAGAAAGTATTATATATAAAAAAGGATCCATTTTTCTTCTAAAACATTCCACGTGCATGTGTGTGCTTTTACACTTGTATGTCAGGAGGCCCATCAAGACCCTGCCGAACTATGAACACTGGGTGCCTTGAACACAGAAAGTAAGACTGGGTTTAAAAAAAGAGAGAGAAAGATACATTCTATCTAGCCCTATATTGCTAAATGTTTTAATAAGTATTATTTTCAAAATACTTTTTATTATAGACCAATACCACTAATGAATATTGATGCAAAAATATTCAACAAAATCCTAACCAACAGAATCCAGCAACAAATTATACACCACGACCAAGTGGGTTTTATCCCAGGATCTCAAGGATGGTTCAACAGATGTAAATCTATAAATGTAAGTCATCACATAAAACAAATTAAAAAACAAAGACCATATGATTCTTTCAATTGATACAGAAAAAGC